TACTATTTTGCACTCGTTACGAAATATACTATTTCGCCCGCCGTGGCAAAAAGTTTGGACTTTCTCATCAAAGAGCAAAATACAAAGTTTGCTTTGCAGGCGTGTTAAAAATAGCAGGTGGACCTCGAGCGGGAAAATATGACTTTCCGTCCTTGATGCACAATATACTAATAAAAGCTCCAGAATCCTTACTCCATAGCTGCGTTCCTGGCCTCAACTACGCCAGAACACCTCAAGATAATCAACGACTTCATCCAAAAATGTCAAATGCAAATTTGGAGCGTACAACCAGAGACATGATGTATTAAATTTTCAACAAATTACATGTAACTATCGCTGTAAATAATCCTGAAGGATTGATACATTCAATAAATTTAAAAAAAAACAAAAAAATACTATAAAAATCTTGTCATCTGGTACCAGAAATACTTCACATTTTTAGCCCCATACGGGCCAATCCCGTTAATCACTGCGAAAGGTCTATAATTTGATATTACACTCGGGGTTAATTTCCAAAGTTCAACTCTGACCTGTATTTACTGAACTAAACTTCATAGACTGATGATGAGTAATTAATCCTAAGGAGGACGGAAATTATTTCTGGAGAAACAATTTTTTATTCTATTTTTTATTCAGTTGTTTGCAGAATTTTTCATGAACTATTAATTCATTAATTAATTAACAGCTTGTGAGTGTTAATTAATTAATTCTCATTCATTATTTTTTGTTAACTCTAGCAAAATCGTTACTGTCTACTTTTGGAATTTCCCTGGAATCAGCCAGATCTTTAGATTGGAAATCACCGATGGAATTTTATAGTTTTTCTTGTATCTAGAGATACGATTTAAAAAAGGCTTATTCATTTCATCTTGGAACAAGCCAGTCAACGAACTTACCCACTGCGCCACTCAGATGTTTGTCTTTCGTTTGAGCCTTGTATCTAATCCACTTGGCTTCCCCCTTTCTTTATCGTTTAAAGTGCGCAAATCTACAGCATTTATTTACACTATCAGAAATATTCTGTTAACTTAATGTCAATATTTACACTTCTCACAATCATTGATTTTAGATATGTAGTCGACTATTTACGACAAATTTGTGTTGTATTTTAAGTATTTTTGGCTCTGTTAATTTCAGTTTGGGGCTGATTGAGTTCGTGAGTGATAATTTGAATTGTTTCAATTCTCTAATGAGACCCACGAGTGCAGCAACGTCAATTCAATAGCGAAACGGTAAAACGATTCAAGTCCAGATATCGGCATAATCATAATTTTTACTTACAGCTAAATTTTGAATAATTCAATTGTCAATATTACTCACCAATTTTTTGATTATTAAATTAACCATCAATTTGAATATTCAAATTCCGAATTATTTTAACAACCAATAATTGAGAATTGTCAATTACCAATTATCATATTATTTCTCTAATTTCAATGAAGACAAGGCAATGTTAATTATTGTAAACTGCACTACGACTCAGAATATTACTAAATTAATGATTGATGCCGATCTATTGTTCAAGTCCTGAGCCCTTAGCTGAGTTTTTGGGGAATATCTCCGAATCTAAGGGAGATTACGAAATTTTCGTCATGAACTTTTTTTGTCGCCCTCAACTAGTTCTACAAAAAAGGCCATGTCAAAAATTTTGTTATCTCCCTTAAATTTTGAGACATTCATTGAAAACTGGCCAATAGTCAAAATCTAGGATTTAAGGATTTCCAAGTATCTTTTACAGTTTGGTAAAACTGCTAAGAATACAACCATCTTCAATCATCAAATGTGTTAATTAAGTTCCGTGAGTAAAATTTGAACAGAATCATGAATATTCAGTGTTATTCAAATACCATGTCGCAGAGAATTATTATTTTTATAAACATTCATTGTTTATAAATAAATAATTGAAATTGTTTAAACACGGAAACCTTATTTTTTTGGAATGGAATCGATTTCTGGTGAAATTCTGAATATGAACAAATTTGTTACGATTTCGAACGAATGATTTTTGTGGTTGAAAATTAATTGTTTATAAAATATCCACAGAAACTGCGTGTAATTTTCAAAAATTGCAGTTTTTAAATTATTTCATCCATTTTCCTTCAAAAGTTTCTGTTTTTTCAGATTTTGAAAATATTTTCTAATGGTCCAACATTAACATTCAAATTCAGACCTGCTAAGTTTAAGGGTGCCAAGTGAATTTGAAAAAAGATTTAAAAAATTTTTTTTCTTTCCCTCCATCATTGGGGAAATATGTATTCATCCATCCGACGAAATTTCAAACCCGCAACCGGAACTAGACATCGAGAAAATAAATGCGGAAAATTCTCTATTTCGCGTGACGAACCTCGAGAAAGCATGGGATCAAATGGATACGGCGGGTTGAAATATCTCTCTTATTCACCCCGGTACCCCATTGTTTTTTGTCGCCATCACATTGAACACATCATTCCCCATATCTTCAAATTTTTTCAAATTTTTCTTGAGTTCCTAGGGGGTTGAAACGTTCAATTTAATCAAAACTCCATAAGAGGCCGTGTATAAGACTGATTTTGTTTATTTAATTTATCGATATCCATAAGTTCTAAAATTTTAAAATTGTCACCGATGTTCACCATCTGTCTAATACTATTAATTAAAAAAATTACAACTTTGTTGGTGAATGTCAATTTTCAAAGTCATCGCCAAATTCACTTGGCACCCTTAAATAATAGAATCATTGTAAAATGGTCAAAACTTAGGGTCAAGTGGGGAAAAATAGTCAAAGTACTTGGATGTCCTTAAACCATGACTAGAACGGCTATAAAATTTTTCGAAGAATTTCACCCTTTTCAGTTGAACTTCAGCCTGGTATCTCATTTCTCGTATCATTTTTTGTTCTTCGTTATATTTATAATTGGTCGTCGTCCCTCTTAGTGATTACTCTATTCGTTTCATTTCTCGAACCCCAAGGGGAGACTAGGGCAAAGTGGAATGTTTTAAAATCAAAACCCTCAGATTGGTATTTTGCCAAAATTTTATTCTGTACAATTTTTATTTAAAAGATTTTTGGCTGTCAGCCCAGCCTACAAGTACTATTATAATAATTCTAACAATTCTCCCCCCCCCCCCCCATACAACAGGTTCAAAAATACAATTCAATTGAATTAATTGAATCAGTGAGTGCCATCAGGTCTCGACCGTCCTGCGACCTTCGGCATTTTTTTATTCGTCGAATCCTCTAACTCGCGCGGTTTGTAATAGTGAGGAGCGACTTCTAACAACCATTTGCTCTCGATTTCCGTGACTGACCTCATAAACTCTTTAGTGGTAAACACCAGCTCGTGGTAGAGCAGCCACCTCGGTAACTCTTGGAATAGTGAACTATTGGGGTGAATGGAGACTGTCTGGTTATGCTTTGCGGTTTTGTAGTGTCCACCTTTCGACAGTCTCGCTACGTGGTAGAAGTAGCCAGCTGTTATAGCCTTTCGAATGTTTATGGTATCTGTAATGCCGGAGATGAGTTCCATTTCAACTCTTGCCATTAGGCCAACCAACTGCTCACGAACGTCTCTAGCTCGTTTCATTGATCTGAAAAAAAACAGTAAAATTAATGAGGACAATTGAAGATTTGATGTTGTGCTAAAAGAGGAGACGTTACTCAAGGAAATCACTCAGAACAACACATCTCAGAATGACAATTAATATATGAATTTACAGAATGACAATTAATATATGAAAATTAGGGTCAGAAAGACAGTAAAGGTTCAGTTTGACTATGAAGATTGAAAGAATGCTCGTTATTTATTAAATAATCTTTCTTCTTCTCCAATAGGTGTATCGCATAATCCATTTATCGAAAAAAAAAAAATTCAATTTGAAACTTAGGATCTCAAATTGAGACTTTCGAAATCGTAAATTGAGATTAAGATTGAAATCTTAAGGCCCAGGTGTTTTTCTCGATATTTTTTTCATCTGTCGTCATCTGAAATTGTCAATTAACTCCTGCATCATGCAGAAGTTTTGAAAAATTATGAATGAATAATCAAAAAAAAGTAGAAAAAATTCTCAATTTTTTCAAAGAGCATTTTTAATTTATATTCAGAATAAGTTGAATAACAAGAAATTGAAAAATGTATCTGATTTACGATGACAAATGGAGGCCTGTCACCCAATATCATGCAGGGGGAATCTCAATTAAAAACGCTCTTTGAAAAAGATTTTTTTCTATGTATTTTTTTATCATTCTATCATAATTTTTGGGAATTTCTACATGACGTACCACTCAATTAACAATTTTGGATTACGAAAGAAAAAAAAATCCAGATACGATTCGAAAGATAGTACACCCGGGACTTAAGCAATAAATATATAATAATAATAATTGAAAACATTAGGATACCGTTTGAATTATCTCCTCGACTCACATCTATGCCTCCAAAAGCGTGATAAAACGAAAAAAAAATTACCTATGTTGTATGAAATTCTCGTAACACCAGTGCGTGCTGAAATCGCTCTGCTGCCACTGATTATAGACGTTCAGCAGAGTCAGATGATCCCCACCCGGCACATGAAAATTTTTCCTAGCCGTGTCGGCATGAATAATCTTATCCTTGGGGCGATAAAAAATCGCTCCATTCACAGACAGCATTGCCGCAATAGTAGCGATTTCCTCGGAACACCGATACTTCTCACTTGCCAGTAACATCTTTGCCATCATTGGATCCAGAGGAAACTCAGCCATCCTCCGCCCGAGTTTCGTGAGCTCGCCCTTGTGATTCAAAGCGCCGAGTGCGTACAGTTGCTCCAGAGCAAGCACCAGAGTTTCGTGTGGAGGTGGATCTAAAAAATCAAAGTGCACGAGGTCATTGATGCCGAGAGCTTTGAGAGTTAACACGACATTTCCAAGATTGATTCTCTGAATTTCAGGCACCGTATTGTCCTCAAGTTCATGCTGATAAGCCCACGCAGTGTAAAGCCTGAAGCACTTTCCAGGCGCCACCCTCCCAGCTCTCCCAGCTCTCTGATTGGCCGAGGCTTTGCTGATGGGCACAACCATGAGACTCTCCATCCCCGTCCTGGAGTTGAAATTGTTCTGCTTCGCAAATCCAGGATCAATGACATAAACAATATTATCAATCGTCAGAGAAGTCTCTGCTATATTCGTAGCGAGGACGACTTTTCTGGCCCCTGGGGGTGTCGGTGAGAATATTTTTGCTTGCATATCACTCGGCAAATTTGCGTACACAGGGAGTATCATCAACTCCCCCAATTTAGTTCCAAGTCGTCTGACTCGCTCCTGCAGCATCTCCTGGCACGTCTCAATCTCATCCTGTCCAGTGAGAAACACCAGAATATCCCCCACGGGCTGGGTGGCGTGAATTTGAAGTATCGAGACAACGCAGGCGTCAATGTAATCAGCCTCAGGTGCTTTTGTGTAATAAATGTCCACCGGAAAACGACGACCGGGAATTTGGAAAATTGGTGCACCATCGAAAAATGCACTGAACTTTGCGACGTCCAGGGTTGCTGACGATATCAGGAGCTTCAAGTCTTTTCGAAAACGTGTGATGTCTTTCACGAGGCCGAAGAGAATGTCAGTGTGGAGGGTACGTTCGTGAGCTTCGTCAATTATCATGACACTGTAAGATCCGAGATCTGGTTCACTCAGAAATTCCCTGTGCAGGGTGCCATCAGTCATGTATTTTATCCTCGTTCGATGGGACGTGCAGTCCTCAAACCTTATGGCATAGCCCACCTCATTGCCAAGCTTCACAGTCATCTCGTGGGCGACTCTGGCAGCCACTGACATTGCGGCCACTCGTCTGGGCTGGGTGCAGCCAATGATCTTGTCGTTCTTGGTGAAGCCAGCCTGGTAGAGGTACTGAGGTATTTGCGTGGTTTTTCCAGAGCCAGTCTCACCCTCGATTATGAGAACCTGATGATCTCTCACTGCTTGAATCAAGTCCCTTCTGAAGGGGTAAATTGGCAAACTTTTTTGGGTTTCTTCGATTGTCGTCAGGGCTTTGGTCTTCTCGGTCACTGGTGGGGCCTCTCGACGATCTTCTGTGCTTCCGGGGATTCCCAGCGCCTGAACGAACTCCACCTCGTCCTCCAGGAGAAGTTCGTACTCCTGTTTCTCTTGTTTGTTCTTCACTCCGAATTTGAACTGGGCTGATGTCATCTGATGGGACTCCCACTTGCTCTGCTCTGATTGCGGTGGCTCAATGTCCATGGGCTCTGACTCCACCTCACCCTTGCCCTTCTCCAGGGGCATGTGGTACCTCTGGACCCTCTCGAGTTCCCTCGCTTTCTCATGCTCAATTGCCAGCTGCAAAAGCTGCTTTTTGTGCGCTCTTTCTTTTCTCTCACGTTCTGTTAGAACTTCTTCGTTGAAGAGGTACTCGTCGTCCAATATGTCAGCCTCCAGCTCAGCTACTTTGTCCTCCTTTCGTTTTTCCAGGTATTGACGGCGGGATTCCACTCGGAGCTTTGGCAGCAGTTTGTCTCTTGAATCGGTTTCCATGATTTTGAGCCTTTTCGCTGCCTCCACTGTACCTGAACCCGCTGGCATCGCGACCTTTCGCACTTTTGACTCGTCTTTCTCCTTCAGACGCTTTGCAAATTCGTCTCGGGCTTGGATGTCACGTTTGCGACGCTCCTCCTCGCTGTCGCTACTGTCATCGTTCGATAAATCTTTCTTTCTGTATCGACCCATTGTGCGCGGATTTCGAGGACTTGGGCGTTGGGTTATTTCACCTGTAATGATGTTAAGGTTTTTACTGTGCGGGGGGAATGGAGTAATATGGATGCTTCTAATATCTTTTGAAATCTTTAGGATATCCAAGCACTTTTGCCATTTTTTCTGCAGTGAAGGCCCAGGTGTACTGTCTTTTGAAAGTTTTCTCGACGTTTTTTTTCATCTTTCGTCATCTGACATTGTCAATTGAGTCCTGCATCATGCAGAAGTTTTGAAAAATTATGAAGGAATAATAAAAAAAGTAGAAGAAATTCTTAATTTTTTCAATGAGCATTTTTTATTTATATTCAGAATAAGTTGAATAACAAGACATTGAAAAATGTATCTGATTTACGGTGACAAATGGCGGCCTGTCAGCCAATATCATGCAGGGGGAAGACTGATTTCGTAAATCTTTTCCCACACTGGACAGAGACATTTATTACGGAAAAGGCGCTTTGAAAAAAGTTGTAATATTTTGGAGAATTTTTTAATCACACTTTTATCACATAAAAATGGCAGATGACTACATACCACTGTTTTGATAATTGAGATACCTAGCTGTCACTTCCCATGAGGAGTTAGGGTTTTGTTATCAACCATGGAAAATGACGGCTAATAGATAATTTGCCACAGCGAATCAGATATTTGTAATTTCCACTTTTTTCAACTCATTCTGAGTCTCAATTAAAAATCCTCTTTGAAACAGTTCAGAATTTTTTCTATTTTTTTTATCATTCTATCATAATTTTTGGGAATTTCTACATGATGTATCACTTAATTGACAATTTTGGATTACGAAAGATAAAAAAAATTCAGATAACATTCGAAAGTACACCCGGGCCTGAAAGGCTTCTCTACTTTTGCAGTCGAACCTCGTAGAGCTCCATTTGACCCTAAGTTTTCGGACATTTTGCAATGATTTTATTATTTAAACTTTGCAGGTCTGAACTTGCATGTCGGTATTGAACCGTTAGAAAACATTTTAAAAATCTGATAGAAAGAAAAAATTAGAAAGTTGACTTTGGAGAAAGATTGATGAAATAATTAAAAAATTGCAATTTTCGAAGATTACGAGCATTTTTTGTAAATAATTCATAAACAATCAATATCTACCGTAAAAATCGTTTGTTCAGAATCGTAATAAATTTATTCCTATGTAGAATTTAACCAGGAATCAATTTCGTGCCTAAAAAATTGAGTTTTAGAAAGTTTAAACAATTTCAATTATTTATTTATAAACAACCAATGGTGAAAAATAATAATTCTCTACCAAACTGCAAAAGATAGTTGAATATCGTCAATAATTCACTGATTTGTTGATGAAATGGGATATTTTTTCTTTCGAATCGAACCTTTGTGATATGGGATCAAACTAACCTTAATTGATGAATTTATTTATTAGTTATAAACATTCTTTAAAAAGTCAACAGTGTCGATTTTGCCCCAGAAAACCCTAAACGTGAGTGCAAATGTTGAGTGCAGGTTAGGTTCGTTTCAATAGCTTTAAAATAAACGCATCGAACGTGTGAAGGTAAAATAACATTTTTTCATTAATATTATGAAATATAGGATTATTTTAATGGAGTGAAAATTATTTACTCACCTAATTGATGAAACAATTGATCTGACAATGTTGATGACAGTTCAAAACAAACGACCACTCAGCCTAAATGTATTTATGAATTTTAGGATTTTATGTTTTTTTTGTTCTTGATAAGTTCATGAGTTTTTTGTTCATGATAACTGGAGATAATTCTTTACCACAGTGGATGATAACTTCATTTAAACGTTTTTTGGTGAAAAATGTGTAAGGGATGAAGGCCATAACATCAACAACTGATCTGTCGTACCTGTAGTTGGTCGCTCAACGGAAATCAAACGGTGAGTGCCGGCAATAATCTCTACTATATCGACAGTCATTGACGGCTAGGGATGGGCGATGTTTTGAAAAACCATCGATTATCGAAGAATTGATGTTAAAAAAAATTGATGGCAATAGTCTCGCCAGTAATAAATAAACAAATTTTTCCTTATGCACGGGCTCTGATAGGATTAATGTTGAAATTTATAATCCACCTAGGGGAGGATGGGGCAAAACGGTCCCCCTTCAATCGTCAATATTTTCCAATTCAATAATCCGATTGGGATGAGTTAGAGCTCGTTTTGAAGAATGAAAAATTATCTTCAAAATGAAGTTGAAACTGGGAATTTTCATAATGTCATTCACAAGTTATTGACAATTGAAGGGGGGCCGTTTTGCCCCACCCTCCCCTACCTTAAGACTCTAAAAATAGAAATAAAAATAGAAGGTAATGTGCAAAACTATACTGAATCGAATGGCCAGAAAAAATTTGGTGTACCCACGCAAAAAGAGGAAATATTTGAGATTCTATCCCATATAGTCGCATGTTAACGCATGCATTTGTTGCATTTGTCCACTCCATTTCTAAATAATAAACGTGGGTTGGTGGATTTAAATTTTTATCAAGATAAATCGAATAACTTCATCTCTCAGTTGAAAAAAAATCAATTTTTTTAACACTTGCGATTGTGGATAAACATCCTCTAGGATTTATTTCTTGTCTGTGATTATTGAATAGTCAAAACGAAAAGCTACTATCCCCAATTTTTTGAAACGAATAAATCTATTTTTGTCCCAAAAATTTTACATCTTAACGCACTCTTTGCACGTTTGGCAAAAAACGTATTGATAATTTAAAAAAAACATTTGGCACAAGTAAAACTAATTTGAGAACTCATTGTTTTTTTCTCGGCGTAGAGGGAGATGGTGATGAACATCAATGAATATTTTTCTCTTAGAGACAATATATCAATTTATTTTGTTTTCTCATAATCTACGATGTCTCAATAATTACTTTACCATTACATTAAATGTTATAACAGAGAATAAAGTATATTACAACCGATTATCGACGACTGATTACACTACTGATTTACTCATCAAAAATAATTTCAAATTCTAAGCATCATTAATTCTTGAGTTTTCAGATAATCACTTCGTCTCTCAGTTATCCTTAAGTAATTGAGTTCATCATAATTATAAATAATTAATGTGTCTGACGTAGTAATTAAGTACCTAAAGATTGTAATGATTGGATAATAATTAATAAAAATAATGATATATTAATAGTCAATGAGTCAATGAACATGATGAGTGAAACATCTCAATAAAAATGATATAAATGATAATGAGATGATAATGATAGTGATACAATTGCAATAATGATAAAATAATCGTTAGAATAGAAAGAATAATGACGATAATTTTAATAGTACTACTCTATGCTCATTAAATTTATTGATTATCTTAACTATAATTATATGTTTTTTTATTTCTTTAAATTCTCCTCAACATTGACACTAACGTCTTCATAGCTTTATACAAGAAAGTCGTCGTTAAAAGTCGATGATCTAGTCATTTTAACAGTTTACAAACGGAAATTAAATAGCGAAAAAATTAAAATTCCCGATTTTTCCACATCACTGTAGAACATGACTGAAAATACTTCAGTCCAAGTGTCGCATTTTTTTCGAAATAAGCAATGACTGACTCGAGATCACGGAAATTTTCACCTTTTCATTCGATTTTTATTCCAGACTTTTCGATAATTCAAATGATCTCATTACGTTACTTAGCTGAAAAATTAAATCAATTTACTAATTAATTCTAGACAGTCACATTGTCATGTTTAATATCATTCCCAACTCTTAACGAATTTCACCTAAGAGTAAAAAAAATGACAGTAATTATTTACTGTTCCATCAACATTAAAAAAAATTGTAGTCAACTTTTTACTGATTTTTTCATTCATTTACAGGATAACGGGGATAATATTTCTTCCCTTCTCCGAACGACGACTCTCACTGACTAGCTTCCAATCTTATTTACTTTCATCTCATATTTTATTTGTATTATTGAGCGATTTTAAACTTGGAAAACCACTCAATCAACAAGAGTTTCATACAAAATAAACACTGAGGATTTTTCATCGTCATTAAAAAACTTTTGATTCGATTAGTCGAGGGGTTTGTAGTAAGGCCTCAGTAGCAAGACACATTGATAGCTCTAAGGCCACATCATCTGGTTAATTTGTTTCAATGATTGAGAGAAATTGAGAAGTTCATTTGATTTCCTATTTCCACTGATGATTGATCAATCATCCTTTCATTTTTTATCCCGCAATTCAATTCAATGAAAAACAACGTAGGCTATCTACAGCTAGATCAAGCTACCAACTACGATGTACATTTTTTTTTCATCATTTCTTAATGGATTTTTATCTTCGTAACTTTTTGAATTAATTTACACTGTCGAGGAGTTAAATAGTAAATAATATCAGACAATGTCTGAAGTATTCTCGACATAAATAAGTATGGTTTTATTATAAGAAGATTTAAACACTCTTTGGAGGGAATTGGCTAACTCATTTGAAGGAAAAGCCAATGAAAAAAAAAATCTCTCGGTGTTTATCCATTTTTTTTTTGGCTTCTGAGGGAAGAGTAAGGAAGATAGAGGTTCGAGTGAGTAATAAAAGGATTTTTCACCTTTCTTTAAGAAAATGAGTCTTCCCAAATTAAAGGAAATTTGATAAAGTCTCTACCGCCTGTCAAATTCACTAACAAAGCGGCAAAACGATAAAATTTTGACTATTCGCCGGTTTTTAATGAATATCTCGAAACCTAAGGGAGATAGCGAAATTTTTGTCATGACCTTTTTTGTGGAGCGAATTGAGAGCTACAAAAAAGGTCATTACAAAAATCTCGTTATCTCCCTTAGATTCGGAGATATTCCTCGAAAACTCAGCTAAGGGCTAAATCGACTTGAACCGTTTTACTGCTTCGCTAGTGAATTCAATTAAACTTTTTTCTTTCTTCATTTATGATTTTTATAGAATCGTTGCGGGACTATTCCTTAGTACTTTATTCTTTCTCATGCTTCTTTCGTTAATATCTCACTAATTTAGACTCGAGGGGGTTCTATTGAAGTCTCGCTTCCTGGGGTGTTGTTTGGTAAGGCAAACCCGGGAATGCACCACCCGTCGTCGTTGCACCCTGCAATGCTCCTGCACCTGGTAGGGTTGCGTACGTATACGGTGTTACGTAACTGGCGGCTGCTGCGTTCGCTGGAAGATTACGAGAATATTGCATTTTTTAAATTTTTAATCTCATTTGTCCAGATATTTCGCTTAGAAAAAGGTAAATATTACGTTAAGACCCAGCTCCATTGTCTGCCGAACGTTATCTAAATTGATTTTTTTGTTCGATTTCTATCTCGATGCTCTGTCACTTAGGGACGCCCGAAAATTCAGTAGCGAAGCGGTAAACCGGGTTAAGTCGATTTTGACTTTTCGCCAGTTTTTGATGAATATCTCGGAATATAAAAGAGATAGCAAAATTTTTGTCAAAAACTTTTTTATAGCCCTCAATTGGCTCTGCAAAAAAGGTCGTAACAAGAATTTTTCTATCTGTGGTAGATTCCGAGATGTTCGTAAAAAACTGGCCGATACTTGAAATCGACTTGACCCGGTCCACCGCTTCGCTACTGAATTTTGGATTTTGATTGTAAAAAAATTTAGTTAATATTGAGAAATGATTTTAATAGAAGAAATATGAATAGTCTATAATTACCGGGGCAAATGGCGACCTGTCAGTTGCCAAAATGGGGGCGGAAAGACGAAATAATAAATCCTTCGGCATACCCTGAGAAGACGATCATACGAAAAAAGGCTATTTGAAAAAATTTCGTAATATTTTTAAGAATTTTTTCATCACGCTGTGACGAAAAGTGAACTTTTCGGCACGCTCCGCGTGCCTAAAAGTTCAATTTCCGCCAGATTGTGATGAAAAATATTGTTCGTAACTCGTGAAAAAATGTTTTTCATCACGCTGAGACGAAAAGTGAAATTTTCGGCACGCTCCGCATGCCTAAAAGTTCAATTTCCGCCAGATTGTGATGAAAAATATTGTTCGTAACTCGTGAAAAAATGTTTTTTTTGCACTCGTTACGAAATATACTATTTTATCACACTTTTACGATGAATTACCAATCACTTACGACAATCGCCTCCATTGATAATTGTACTGGCGATTAGCTGTCTTTCTTATCGAGAATTGAAAACAGGAAAATCGCTTTCTTCCTTTTTTTCGCCCCCGACAAAAGAGACAGTTGATGGACAGTACAATTTTCAACCGAGGAGATTGGTATAAGTGATATTAGTAGTTCATCGTAAAAGTGTGATAAAAAAATTCTTAAAAATATTACAAAATTTTTCAACGAGCTTTTGTTGGTAGAATTGTCTTGTTGCGCTGTGCGAAAGGATTTATTATTTCGTTTTTCCTCTCCAGATGGTGGCGACTGACAGGTCCCCATTTGCCACGGTAATCGTACATTATTCATATCTCCTCTATTGAACTCATTCCTCAATATTAATTAAAAACGCTCTTTCAAAATGTTCAGAATTTTTTAAATCCTTTTTTAATAAAAATTCATAATTTTCGGGGGTCTTAAAGTGATGGGGCATCGAGTTGAACTTTCGAGATAAAAATGGAACAAAAAATCAATTTAGATACTGGATAAGGGCCTTAATTTGAAATTTATACAGGGGAGGGTGGGGCAAAGTGGAGCACTGAGGTAAAACGGATATAATGGTTAATTATTAGAGGGTTTTGACACCGTTGTTGTCTACCCAGAATCAAAGACTATGGCAAAAGTAAAAAAACTGTAGAAAAAATAACGTTTCACTTTGTCTCAACCTTCCACTTTGCCTCACCCTCTCTCAGGAAATTGAGAGAAAATTTTGAAAAAGGTGAGAATTTTTGTAGTGATCCCCACGGTTTCGGATAAAGTAAGGTACATTTCTAGCCAAGGATCACATTTTTGGTTGCGTCAAAAAAGCGTGGAGATGTATCAAAAAATCCCCGCTTTTCCCAATATATCGTCGTCGTATAGCCAAAGGGGCGTAAGTTCGTGGGTGTAAGCATATCTGTTACGCCTCCTTAGCTCTACGACGATTTCATCATTTTCTCAAGAGATAAAATTCCTTAATGTCTTAGTAGATTGTTCGTTAGTAATGTTAGATGAAAGAAAGATGTTCAAAATCTGCCATCCATTCAGAGCGATAATTAATGTCGATCGAAGGGGCATATTCAGTAATGAAATACGGAGGCTATTCATTGGTAATTAGAATGGAATGTCGAATTAAGCGGCGTTACTTTGTCAGTGAATTTTTCGGGGTATTAAAAGATCTCTACTTTAACGAAAAACGATTCAGGTTGGCTTCCTAATGAATAGATGATTACGCGCGAATTGCACGGATCCAAGTACTTCCGATAGTTCACGAGGTTTTTCTGTTCTAACGTTCTCTGGACAGAATCGGATCTCACGTTTTTCACCGTTGAATGATACCTTACACATGAAGAAAACACAGAAATATATCTTCGCATAGAAACTCCGAGTAGTTTAACTCGTTAAAAAATGTCATCGCATGGATTCTATATTGGACTAATTAATATTGGCTACAAAAATTGGACAATTCTATCGAATTCAAAGTAGTATGAACACAGCTCCATTTTTAAAGATTAAACTCTGGAATAAGACCCAAGAAAACAAGCTTTATTGTGAGACTTATGACCTCAAATTGAGACTTTGCAAAGTTTCAAAAATTAAGATTTTCAAAAATCTCGGGTTCAGACTTTGAGAATTCCTCGTGAAGAAAAATTTCATGTTGAGTTCCGAAAGTCTTGATTTAAGGCATTTGAAAGAATCAACTTGAGTCTATGAAAGTCTTAAATTGAAGTCTTCAAAAGTCTGTACTTGACAGTTTAAAAGTATCAAATTGAAACCGTCAAAAATGTCAACTTATAACTTTGAAAGCCTCAAATTAAGATCTCAAAGTCTCAAATTGACACTTCGAAACTCTCACAAGACTTTTGAAAATTTTATTTTAAGATCTAATAATTATTTTAAGACCTGAAATCTTAAAATAAGGTATAATTTTTTGTATATAACTTTTAAAAGGGCATTATTACGAATAGAAACATTCAGATAGAATTTGTGCTCAATGGAAACTCTAGTATTATTGATAATAATCAATTTAGAAGTAGCAAACGGCACCAATTAAAAAATAATTAATTAAAATTCCATGTTTAATATTATTGATAGTCTGGAACTTTTCTTATAAACAATTCACGTTTTTTGATGTCTGAAAATGGCACGTCTCAACTGGAGTATGTTCACACTACTTTAAACTCCTTCAGGAAAAAATGTCAAGAATTTTTTTTTGTAGCAAAGAAAAATTTACAAAAAACAGGTCTCATTCCCCCCTGAAATCCCTCATCGTCCAAATAATTAATCTATACCTCCGAGCGATCGAAATGTTCCGGCGCGTTCTGCGATGCCTTCGCAGGCGAATAAATAAAATTCGCAACTCGAATTACCTTTTAGCATTTCAAAAAATTTTAATAACGAATGAATTAAAATTCATAGTGTTAATAATCTACCATTCCAGAATGATTAATGACGAAAATCAGTGTTAATGACGTTTAATATTTCACCGACCAATTTCTCGTTAAAATCTGTTAATCTGTTAGTTTTGAAATGTTTTAATCGCGTCTAAATTCCCTACTTGCGCTGTTTTAAAGACGTACCGGCCGCGGCAGCGCTGGTGTATGGATAGGCGGCCGCCTCGGCGAAGTTGTAGGATGACGTACCCGGATACGTGGCTGCTGCAGCAGCAGCTGCTGCCGCTGCCGCTGCTGCATTCTGATATTCATAGAATTGTGATGCCGCTGCAACAGCCGCTGCATGACTCAATTGCGTCGTTGGTAATTGCACAAGTCCGCCTGGTGCTGCTGCTGCTGTTAAGTACGGTGATTGATACATGTAACCAGGTGGAACACTAAAATGAAAAATCATTCGTTAGTTTCGGGGTTGGATTTTGATATTGGAGAGGGATTTTTATTTTCAATCGTAAATTCACTAGGAAAAATTCTACGTAAATTCAACGCTCATCAGTTCCCAATGCGACACAAAGGCGCCGAGGCATTTTTATATGGAGAAAAAAGTTGGAGAAAAATTACTAAATAAGTCATGGGGTTAAAAATGAGAGGAAATGACGAATTTTTCTCCGCTCACTTGAGAAAATTTACTAAACGTGAGGGTAATTTCTGCCGAAATAACAAATTATGCCATGAATGTAAATGCTTGCTCAATATTGCGTACACTGGCAAAAAATTTTCAATGAAATTTCTGGTAAAAGTCTTGACAATTTCTAAATATTAACATTTAGACTGAATTTTGAAGGAATTTTGACTTTGAAAATTCGTAGTTCTATGGAAAAATCTGGGAGAACTGTAAATTTCAGTTTCATTGTTCCAGAAAAATTAATGAAAAATCAGAAAAATTTTGAGAAATCTCTACTTGAATTGAAGATTCCTCCGAATTTTCAGAGAATTTCTTCAAAAATTCGTGGAATTCCAGGAATTTTAAAGGAAATTTTTGAAAATTCAAGGGAATTTGGCAAGAAAAATTCCTAATTCTATGGAAAAATCCGTGAGAACTGTAAATTTCAGTTTAAGTGTTCCGGAAAAATTAATTACAAATGAGGAAAATTCTGAGAAATCTCTACTTGACTTCAAGATTCCTTCGAAAAATTCCTCCTTTGGCACTGAAAAATCCTAATTACATGAAAAAATCCGTGAGAACTGTAAATTTTAGTTCAATTGTTCTAGAAAAATTAATAACAACAATTTCGTTCGACTATTACCTTTCGTAGAGTCAAATTTGCCACGATTTTCTAGTACTTTTTATTCAACTTTTCTCTCCGTGTGTTCATGTGTTTGGGTGTATGGGGATGAAGCAGTTTTGAAGACAAACAAAATAATTTTGTTGACGATTTTTTTGTCCCATTTGATTTTGTTTCATTGTTCCTTTATGAAAGGTCAAGTTCTCGGGTATTTTTAAATTTTTTTCATGAACGGAAATCAGTAGCGAAGCGGCAAAACGATTCAAGACGACTTTGCTCTTGACTGAGTTTTCGAGGAATATCTCCAGATCTAAGGGACATAACGAAATTTTCGTATTTACCTTTTTTGTAGCTCTCAATTCGCTCTAGAAAAAAGATTTTGACGAAAATTTTGCTATCTGCCGTAGATTCCGAGATATTTGTTGAAAACTGACTAGTAGTCAACATCGACTTAAACCGGTTTACCGCCAAATGATTACACTGTTGGAAAAAATGAAATGAAATCGAAATTTCATGGAAAGTCAATAAGTAGTGGTATTGAATGCGATTTAGAGGGGAAAACATGAAATTTCAGATTTTATTGAAAATTCAATGAAATTCCACATTTTATTTAAATTTATTTGAATTTTCAATGAAAATATGAATATTCAGAGCCAAATTTTTTCAATTAATTGAAAATTAAAGAATATATTTACCACAATTTTCCTGATTTCTACTAATTTTCGAAAATAATTGACCTAAATTTTGCGGTTCTCATTGATTGTTCCATACAATTCTGAATTTTCAATGACAACATTCCTTGAAATTTCAGTGAAACTAAAATGTGATAAAAATTTCCCTAAAGTGTACCAGAAATTTCAGACATAATTTTGACCACTGTACTTTTGGTTCAATTTTGATGATTTTTATTTGAATCAATTCATCTCTCGGGATACGGGGATGGGAAATTTTTTGGCGGAAAATTTGAGGAGTTCGAGGCGACAAAGAATTGATAATCAGCTCGCAATCTCGTTGCATTCATTTGATAACAGCTTATTACTCGAAAATAATCCTTTTTGATATTTTTTCTATGATAGGAGAGTAACAATTTCCATAGGTGCGTGTTAGTCATATGTATATGGAATACGTATTGGTCAGGACATTCAGCGCGACCCAATTGTTTTATCGTGAATTGATTCGGTCGAATATTCTGCTTTCAGTAAAATCCATATCGTCGGAATGAAATAATACAGAATATTATAAAAACGAATGTAAAAAAACATTAAAGGAATAAATGTAAACTTATCAATCAACCGGAGCCAGATATTTTTGTAGTCGACAATCAGACCTTTCATTTGAGCCCCATCGGACCCTAAGTTTCCGGACATTTTATAATAATTTGATTATTTAAATTTTGTAGATCTGAATTAGAACCTCGAAATTCAATCGTTATAAGACATTTTAAAAATGTGAAAAAAAATTAGAAACTTTAGGAGAAAGATTAATGAAATAATTTAAAAATTGGAATTTTTAAAAATTACGACCATTTCAGTAGGCAAGCGGTAAACCGAGTTGAGTCGATTTTGATTTTTGGCCAGTTTTTGATGAATACCTCGGAATCTAAGAGAGTTAGCAAAATTTTTCTCATGACCTTTTTTATAACCCTTAATTGGCTCTACAAAAAGGTCATGACATAAATTTTTCTGTCTCTTCTACATTCCGAGATATTCGTCAAAAACTGACCAATAGTCAAAATCGACTTGACCCGGTTTACCGCTTCGCTATTGATTTGCTGTAAATAATTTATAAACAATCAATTTTCCACCATAAAAATCATTTGTTCGGAATCGTAACAGATTTATTAATATTCAAAATTTTGATAGAAATCGATTTCGTGCCTGAAAAAATTAAGTTTCCGAAGGTTTAAACAATTCAATTATTCACTTGTAATTAATATTAAATAATATTAAAATAATATTAGAATAATAATATTAAATAAATATTATATTAAATGAATATTACAAATATTATTTATTTATGCCTTTTCCGGATGAAAATATCTCATATAGAGGAAAATTTATCAACAAATGTTTTATCCTCAAGTTACAAGATTGCTATCATATCATTATTATTGTTTAATTTAAGGGTTCATTTCTTGTCCATGATTATTAGACAGTCGAAACGAAAAACTACTATCCCTTGTTTCGCATAAAACAAAGATTTTTCGGGAGCAAAATACGTATGGGAGTATCGAATAACGAAGGAGTATCGCTAGAAACGACATTTCTTGCGTCTACAGAGAATGCAATTTTTTTTTAACTACTATTTTTCATACCGACGCACTCTCTGCATGTTTGTCACAAAAAAATCCTTTTTTGATAATTTTCAAAAAACTATTTTCTTGGCACAAGTAAGACTTGTTTGAGAACTTCGCCGTTTTTCTCTCAGTGTATCAACCGTGAAAATGATCCTCGATGGAGAGCTAAAAAAAATTCTGGCACTGATACAAAAATAGACAAAAAATAGTGACCACATATTATTCCGGCATCCGGTTCAGCAACGGACTATTTCATACAAAAAAGGATCGATAACGAGCACTGTCCAGTCTACCCGAAGGAATCAATATTTCCGTAGTCCTGTGGCCTCGAACTCACATGACAGTGGAACTAGCTCATCCCCCACCACAATCACTCCATTCTTTCTATCTGCCAAATTGTAAGTTCCCACAGGCCAGTTCCAATGAAAAATAATCACCTCATTATTTGTCCATTCCCCTCATAATTCCCCTCCCCCCTGCCCCTCCAATCAACAGCAAATCCATCATCTATCATCTACCAACTATCAACGTCAACTTCAGAATCTACTCCCTAATATCATATAGCAGCAAAATTTTTACTTCACCAGCAGGCAAATCAACTCCAAATGTGCGTAAAATTGAAACTCTTGAGCGAGAATTTTTTGTATTTTCATAGGAAAAAAATTTCAAACGTTCGTGTTCATGGTTGAGGAAAATGGGGGGGAGGGGAGGGGTTACTGCAGAAGTTATCTGCTGTGAGTATCTCCACAAGCCAGCACTAGTGCATTATGGATGGAGACACTCGCGTGCCGGTGTCATTTGGAGCTCATTGTGCCCACCTGCCTTCAACCCTAAACCACCCACCCCCCCATTACCTTCAGTGACCAACTGCAACTGGCAAACGACCCCCCTATGTTGATATCGCTTCCTCAATTTACTACTTTTTTTTATCATTTAAATTTCAGGTTTTTCGCTTCGAATGGAAGCCATGTAATTGTGATTTCGATTTTCGAATTTTGGGTGGAAATGCATAGAAATGAGCGACCAGTCGACAATCATTACATTTGTAATATTAGCACAGGATTGTTAGAATTTGCACCTTTCTATTACGATGATTTTATTATCTTACTTGAAATTCGAAAAGATTGAAATAATTCATAATTCAAATTTTCTATTAACTATTGAGTAAACGATTCTAAATTTCAGTAGCGAAGTGGCCAAACGGTTTAAGTCAATTTAGTCTTTAGTTGAGTTTTCCAGAAATGTTTCCGAATTTAATGGAGATAGCGAAATTTTCATAATAACCTTTTTTCTAGGGCGAATTAAGTGCTACTAAAAAGGTTACGAGAAAAATTTTGCTATTTCCCTTAGATTACGAGATATTCATTGAAAACTGGCCAATAACCAAAATCGACTTGAACTGGTTGACCACTTCGCTAATGATTTCATTAAAAGATTTTCAGTTAGACAATGAGACACGATTACTGGTTGATAGATTATTTAGGAATTTGAATATTCGATTGATGATTAATTTGGTTATTGAAAATTGTTGGGTAATATTATCAGTTAACAGAAGCTACATTTAACTTATTTTGAAATTGATGATTGTTCTAATCCCTGCTAGAAATGTCGTGAAACATGAAAAAATGTTTTTAAAAAATGTGTATGTACATTGAAAACAAACTAATAGGTCAATGTCTGGACGGAGCTTTCGTTCGTTTCTGGACGATTTCAACTTGTAGTGAATATTCCATAAATAGTCAAATGAAAATTGTACTGATTATTCCTTTCAATAATATTACTCGTGTATAATCATGTGATCAGTTATTTTTTCTATTAACTGATATTTAATAAATTTAAAAAATGGCCCAGAAAAATC